GATAGATGCCTTAAAACCAGCGAACAGAAAGACATTGCTGACAGCATAAAAGGAGAAACACAACTGAAAACTCCCACAGACCAAAATATACAAACTGGTCAAATTTGTGATAAAATTACATCTCAAAACAGTCACTCAAAGACACACATGATTACTGTTGCAGCTGAAAAGCCTTTCTTATGTACAACCTGTGGAAAGAGTTATAGTAGAGAGTCTTTTTTAAAGCGTCATGTTAAAATTCACTCTGATGAGAAGCCTTTCACGTGTACGACCTGTGGAAAAGGTTACCGTGCAAGAAGTAGTTTGGCTTATCACATGAAAACTCACACAGGTGAGAAGCGTTTCTCATGCATGACATGTGGAAACAGCTTCATTAATAAAGCTGATTTGAAATGTCACATGAGAACTCACACAGGTGAGAGACCTTTCTCATGTATTTTTTGTGGAAAACGTTTCGGTCGTAAAACCACTTTAGTAATTCACATGAGATCTCACACAGGTGAGAAGCCTTTCTCATGTACAAAATGCGGAAAGAGATACAGTGAAAGAAGTACTTTAAGTTATCACATGAGAACTCACACGGGCGAGAGGCCCTACTCGTGTTTTAAGTGTGCAAAAAGTTTTGGCCATAAAAAAGTTTTGAGACGTCACATGAGAACTCACACAGGTGAGAGGCCTTACACATGTGTTATCTGTGAAAAACGTTTTAGTGATAAAAGCTTTTTAACTAGTCACACAAGAATTCACACAGGTGAGGAGCCATACTCATGTGAACTGTGTGGAAAGAGATACAGTGAGAGAAAAGTTTTAGCTCATCACATGCAAACTCACACAGGGGAGAAATCTTTCACATGTTTTAAGTGTGCAAAACGTTTTGGTAATAAACATGTTTTGAGACGTCACATGAGAACTCACACAGGTGAGAAGCCTTTCTCATGCATTACCTGTGCAAAAAGATTCAGTCAAAAAAGCGTTTTAACTCGTCACATGAGAATTCACACAGGTGAGAAGCCATACTCATGTAAAACCTGTGGAAAGGGGTTTGTTAACAGAAGTGATTTAAATTATCACCTGACAACTCACCCTGGCGAGAAAACTCACACTGGCGGGAGGCTTTTTTCCTGTGTGATCTGTGAAAAAGCTTTCTTTAAAAGACATTTATTAACGCGTCATATGCGAACTCACACAGGAGAGAAGCCGTTCTCATGTGAAACCTGTGGAAAAAAATTCTGTCAAAAGGGTAATTTAATAACTCACATGAGAACACATACAGGTGAGAGGCCTTACCAATGTAAACTCTGTGAAAAACGGTTCGGCAGTGGAGCCAGTTTAGCTGCTCATATGAAAACCCACAGGGGTGAAAAACTTTAGTCATGTACAACCCGTGAAAAAAGAATTACAAGGGGAAGCGGCTTATCTTATCACATGAAAACTCATACATATGAAAATCCACTTTTGTCAAGTATGACTTATAGTATGATATACTGATAGTATAATATCGTTTAGCTTTAAGTAGTCTAGGGTGTGCAGGTGGAGCAGTAGTTAGTGTGCATGACCCATGCACGGAAGCCTTTGAAAAACGTGTTGATCTGGTAAATACTAAATCCAATACTGCTAACAATTGGAATTTGGCTCCCTTCCTCTTGACAAAAAAAGGTGGCTCTAACACCTATCTGGAAAGCTGCATGGCCTGTATCCTCCCACTGCTGTGTTTCTGGTTACACCATGACGTAGGGTTAGTGTTGATGCTGTCACCTGTGCAACAGAAATAAGGAGCGTAAAAAATGTAGATCAACATGCAAGGAAGCCAGGGCGTAGTAATTGTGCTTTATTGTTTATTGTTTAACTTTTTTATCTGTCCTTATCCCTTTGACTTGGGTCGATTGCCGAGTTTATTTGAAATGTTCTTTAATAAGTGTCTTAAGTACAATGTTTTTTTTTACATGTAAGATTCATTAATAGTGTGTCTTAATGTGTCGTCTTACCTCTTAAACATTATTTGACGTGTAATTGTAGTCTATAAAAGTCCAGAAAAGTTTAATTTGGTCTCTATTGTTTATCCTAATATGTTGTTGGGATTGTAACTTTCCATCCATTCTATTTACTCTGTATTTAATTTACTGTTTAATAAGAGTGTTTGCTGTGGAACTGATAAATAAGATCATGAATTAATGGCTTAAAACCTATAGACTCTGGCATTTTTTTGTTATTTTCACAGAATGTATGTATATTATGTCGAAAGATGCTGAAACAAAAAGCTGATCAGTATAAATATTTGAGTTGTTACTCAATCTCACATCATCGTATCTTTTGGTCTGGTTACATTTATTTATTTTATTTGAAATACAAACTGTACATACAAGTACATACAAAGGTACAGAAATTCCTCTTTGTTTGCAATAAGCACTTCAGGGGACGAGTGCTTCAGCAGCCTTGACCAGTATGAACTATTAGCTGAAAGACTTTGTCTTTCTTAGGGGTCAGTTCTTTCTGACGCAGCAAAACAATAAGCTGCAGAAAACATCAAAATGACAAGCTTTATCATAGATGCGTTGAGGTAACTTACTAGCTGGTGTATAAAAGATGTGTTCAGAATCAAGAATCTGTTTCACTATGGACCCAAAATTATTTTCTTCGTTATTCTGCTGAGAACGATCTTTTACATTGACAAAACGTAAAAAAAAAACTTTGAAGAGGAATGAGCATACTTAACTTTTTTGGAAGTCTGTGTTCGGTCATATTGTGTTTGTTTTTTTAAAGGTCATTTGTGTTAAAGTATTGTAAGTAACATGAATTCCAGGATTACAGTTTATGTTACTACTCTGGGTTTCATTTAGCTTAGAAAGGTAAAACACACTGACATTTCAGATTATATTATTTTGACTGTTGTTGACATGAAACAAACAAGTTT